GTGAACTGCTGTATGGAAAGTGAATTTGCTCTGTAAATCTTCACCCAAATCAGAAAAAAAAAAATGCTCTTCAGGTGATTTTAACATACAGCCAGAAAGCAGCAGCACTGATATTGATATAGATCATATCTTAATGAACCCCTATTATATTTTCCAGATTAATAAATTAAAGTTACAGGAGATGTAGAGTTACCCTAACTTCTTTTGGCCCTGATCATAACTTCTTCTGCTCTGTACATATTTTTTTTTTTTAAAAAACTAACAGGACACTAAAAAGATGAACAAATAGGGGGAGAGTTAAGGTGAAAAAGAGGCAGAGGATACTGAAAGGACATAGTTTGGTTTAATTGTACTTACCATATAGTCTGCAATATCTTCTGGAGCATCACCATCAACATCAAACTTGAAGGTGACCATCTTGTTATTGTGTGTCTCCAGCTGACATTCCACCATGTTGTCTCCAGAGGTTGAGACCTGGGCACAAACATTTTACTAGTTTAAAAGTCAGTCATTGTCTTCTCTTTTCAAATTGTTCAGTGAACATCCAGATGAATTAATATACAGTATGTGGGTGAAATGGTTTAAATGGTTGTGAATCTAAAAGGATTGTTTTTCTCCTGATGAAATACTACCTAAACAGCCATTCTATGACAAATCTAAGAGGTTCAAATTACTTAGCAAAAAATAAGTTAAGAATGTGATCCTGTGTTAGTGGGAAAGACAACTGAATACAACTTTTTAAAGAAAGGCAAAAAAGTTAAAAGTCATTATAGCTATAAGCAATGAAAATATCTAAATTCAGTCATTCATTTAAAAAATTCTTTCAGTCCCACAAATGGACTCTTTAAGCAAAAGATGATGTACTAAAATGGAAGTGTTAAAACATCAAAATTATTTCTGGAAAACAATTTAGCAACATAGATTTAGAAAGTTTAAAAATCTTCATATTCTTTGATGTACTACTTCCACTTAGAAATCTATCAGAAGGAAATAATCAAAGGATATATATAAAGATTTATGTTCAAGGATATCTGCTACACAGAGAAAGGCAGACAGGAAAAAAAAAAGATAGACTGGCTAAAAGAGAGACAGAAAGAATCTACGTTAGGAATAACGGAATACCTCTATACCAGGGACCATCTAATGCAGTTATTTAAGATACTGTGTTATTGAAAAATTACTTTTTGACACAGGAAAATGTACATGATATGTTGTTGTTGTTGTTGTTAGGTGCTATTGAGCTGGTTCCAACTCACAGCAACTCTATGTACAACAGAACAAAAGAGTGTCCACTCCTGCATCATCCTCACAATCATTGCCACTATGTCAATACATGTTCTCAAGGGCCTTCCCTATTTTTACTGACCCTCTACTTTATCAGGCATGATACCCTTCTCCAGGGACTGGTCCCTTTTGAAAACATTACCAAAGTACATGAAGTGAAGTCTGGCCACTGTAGCCTCTAAGGAGCATTCTGGCTGCACCTCTTCCAAGACAGATTTTGTTCATTCATTGTTCTGCCAGTCCATGGAATTTTCAATATTCATCGCCAATGCCACAATTCAAACATATCAATTCTTTGGTCTTCCTTCCTTACTGTCCACCTTTCATATGCCTATGAGGCAACTGAAAATACCATGACTTGGGTCAGGTGCAACTTAGTCTTCAAAGTGGTGTATCTGCTCTTTCACACTTTAAAAAGGTCTTTGTAGTAGATTTGCCCAGGGCAATACTGTTGTTTGGTCTCTTGACTTACTTCCACGAGTTTCACTGTAAAATGAAATCCTTGATAACTTCAATCTTTTCTCTATTTATCATGACATTGTCTTTGGTCCAGTTGTGAGGATTTCTGTTTTCTTTATGTTGAGGTGTCATCCATACTGAAAGCTGTAGTCTTTGATCTTCATCAGTAAGTGCTTCCAGTCTTCTTCACTTTCAGCAAGCAAGATCTTTTCTTCTGCATATCTTGGGTTGTTAATGAGTCTTCCTCCAATTCTGATGTTGCGTCCTTCTTCATATAGTGCAGCTTCTTGGATTATCTGCTCTGCATACTGACTGAATAAGTATACTAAAATGATAAAACCCTGATTCACATCTTTCTTGATTTTAAACCACACAGTATCTCCTTGTGCTGTTCAAATGACTGTCTCTTGGTCCTTGTAAGCAGGTTCCTTTTAAGCACAATTAAGTGTTTTGGAATTCCAATTCTTTGCAATGTTATTCATAATTTATTGTGATCCACACAGTCGAATGCTTTGCATAGTCAATAAAACACAGGTAAACATCTTTCTGTACATGATAGTTTTTAAAAAGGCAGGATATAAAATCGTGTACAGGTTTAAACATCTATCCAAAATGTATACCATACTGGTTACACAAAGGTGCTTTAAAGTCTGATCTAGCAACTTTCAGCCAAACAATAGACAGATCTGTGGGGTGAACAATAACACCATGGGGGTATGCATTCTTTAGAACAATCAACTATATAAGATAAAAAGGGCAGCATTTGTTCTGGTATAAAGCTCAGAAGGCAGGAAGAGATAGGATAGTAGGATGAAGGGAAATGGTAATTACAGAGAAGAAATGGGAAGCCTGCTGTTACACTGTGGAGATTGCAATCAATGTCAAAAATCAAAATGTATAAGAATTACTGAATGTAAAAAGAATGTGCTTTGTAAAATTTTTACCCAAACCACCATAAAAAGTTAAATAAAGAATTAAGGTCTGAGCTGGCTTTAGATTTATCATTTGCTAGTTGAATGAATTCAGGCAAATTATTTTACCTCTCCGACCTTCAGTATTCTCATTTGTATAGAAGAGTATACTACCACTGACCATACAGGCTTATTGAGAAATTGAATGTATAACATTTGGTGTGCCTTTTTTACCCCAGTTCCACTGAGTTGATTGTGACTCATAGCAACCTCCTGTGTGCCAAAGACGACCTGTCAGTGTAGGGTTTTCCATGGCTGATTTTTAAGAAATAGATAGCCAAGTTTTTCTTCCAGTGCACCTGCAGGTGAATTTGAACCACCAACCTTTCAGTTAGTAGCTGAGCTCTTAACCATTTGTGCCACCCAGAGACTCCATGGGGTGCCTCCAGAAAACCAAACCAAACTCACTGCCATTAAGTTGATTCCAACTCATAACAACTCCCACTGGGTTTCTGAGGTGGTAAATACTTATGGAAGTAGATTTCTCCATCTTCCTTAAGCAGAGTGGCTGGTGGGTTTGAACTGCAAACCTTCTGGTTAGCAGTCAAATATCTTAGGCACTGCACCACAAAGAAGAATTAAATAAATTTTGGGGACTATTATTAGTAGTATTTTTACAATATTAATTATGTAAAATGCCACAGACACAGAAAGAAGAGATGAAAATAAACTAAAATTTTAATGGAAGCTATCACTGAGTGCTGGCATGAGGAGTGATTTTTATTTTCTTCATTATAATTCCTCAAGTTTAACAATTAACACATAATACTTTCATGAGAATTTTTTTACTAGGGAGAAGTTACTTTAGAGAGGGTTTCACAATTTTCTATACCCACCTTCCTCAACAACATTACCTTACCCAATCCAACAGACCTATGCACGAATGTTTTTAATGCATTTTATTGAAATATAATTTATGTACAGTGAAATACACAAAACTAAAGTGACATGGGTCAATGCTTTTTTTTTCAGTGTTCCCTCCCCACCCCTCCCATCCCTGGCAAGCAACAAAGAAACTTGCCCTCCATATATAAACCTTCCCTTGACCCTCCACAACAATGAACTAATACTATATTTGTCCTTCTGTGATTGACTTATTTCACTCAGCATAATGTCCTCCGAGTTCATTCATATTATGTGGTGTTTCGCAGACTCTACATTATTCTTTAGTGTTGCATAGCATTTCATTATGTGTATGTACCATAGTTTGGTCATCCACTCTTCCGCTGATGGGCACATAGGTTGTTACCATCTTTTTGATATTGTAAATAGTGCTGTAATTAACATGAGCCATACTGCTTTCCACAGTAGTTGTGTAACTTCATAGTCACATAAGTAGTGTATGAGAGTCCCAATCTCTCCACATCCCTGCCAGCATTTGTTGTTTTCTGTCTCATTGAACCTTGCCATCAGTGCTGGGGTGAGATGGTATATCTCATGGTTGTTTTGATTTATATCTCTCTGATGGCCAATGATTGTGAGCATCTTTTCATGTATTAGCTGACCAACTGAATACCCTCCTTGGTTAAGTGTCTATTCATGTCTTCTGCCCATTTTT